GACACAGGTGTTATCTAAAATTAGCATAAGTAAAGACAAATAAACACCAGCGATTGAAAAGATCTTTTATGTGATAATTAATAAGTATAAGATATCACTATTATAAAAAGCAACAACCTACAGCGAATATTTTCACCCACCTTTGCTCTTAACAAACCGCATTTTATTTGTATTTTATGTGAATACGACGGCACTGTTTAATCTTGTTACCACATAAGAAGTGAGTTACACCTTTGTACGCTCCTAAGTAGATTGCATCGAATCTATAACAATCTTTTAGTTGTAAAATTCTGCGTATACTAGAACCTCAATACACGAGATACCATGATTAGAAGATTAGATAATACTATTTTTGTCTTCCAAACTGAAGATTTTTATACCTATGTCACGTATGCATTGTAACGCTTAGATTGAAAATCTCTAGATTTTATGAATAAACGTTTCAAAACGAATTCAAACGTATTGTAACATTTGCGTTTAAAAATATTTTACGACATCGATTTATGACATTGAGTTACGACATTAAATTATGATATATATCCGGCAATGACGTCAAACTTGAGACTTTCTAGATGCTAGGATAAAATTGCTATGCTATATTTTAGGCATTGTATCACAATTGAAGATCAGGTTTATGCTAGGTAAACATTTTAAAAGTAATGTAAATAGGAATTCGTTTTATTCCGATACGTACAATTTTCAATTTCCTTGAGTATTAAACAAGCTTCAAACGATTGAAATCACTGTGTAAATAAATAAGGTTTTGTGCCGGTGCACATTTCCGTATCGTAGCATATGTTTCTACTTAAAAATAATATAGGCAGCGCGTAATTATGTTCTCAATGTAAAAGTTTGAAACACTTTCTCTTAAGTGTTGGTATGAATGGTGAAACAAAGTTTAGTTTTGTATTCATCAGTTATAATTCGTTCAATGCGTCTTTTGACCTCGGAAATATCAATCTTTTAATTTATTTGTACATGTACAACAAGCCTTTAAGACAAAATGATGGCACATCTAATCATTTAATATAGTTTAGTACTGGAATAATACGAGTTTTAAAATATTATTAAGATATCTCTTTTAATTATTTATTTCTGATAACGGTTCAATCATATTCTATAAATAGATTATTCAACCTAAAGATTTTAAAAATTCCCGGCAGTTGAAGTTTTTAAGTATCGCCATAGTCACATGGAATTGCATCATTCAAATTCTGTTCTAAAAATAGCTTATTCAAGCAATAAAGCATTCACCTCTTTCTCACACAGTAATGTCGGAAAACTAAAATGTTGCAGATAAATTATTTCACTATGTTTTCCATCAGCACCTGTATCATTGATCTCAGGTCTATCCTGTTAGCCAGTTATCACATTACCGGTGAGTTGTAGCTGCCTTTGGGAATTTTCGAAAAGATTTCGCCTTTCGTTCGTTAGAGAAATATCTTCCCGTTTTGCTTTGAAACTAGATAACGCAGATTACTTCCCCATGAGGTAGGTGTACTAATTATGCCATCGGTTTTGTAATATTAGAGATAATTGACTACCAATTATTCTAATTAACTCTTTGATCAGATAATGAATTCGATTTCAACCATATCATTCAACAGATCCAAGTGATTGTTTTAATATATGTTCATTTGTTCCCATAATTTGGGATATTGTTAGAGTTACATATTATTAATTGTTAATGATTATATAATTAATGAAAACTCTGAATAATTCCACAAAGATGACTTTAATTGATCAAAGTAAAATGTCGGGTCTGTCGAGTGCACGACATGTATGTTAGTTGTGTACCTTATATCCCACAAGCAATCGATGTAAATTCGGAAGATGGTCCAGGGCCTTATGTTAAAAAAAGATTTGTTCAACTTATTCTCAGACCTCGGGGATTCGATTGGTCACAAACTAGCATATAATGTATATTGACCAATGAAATCTTGAGATTCGAGACAGTGCTCAGAAAATGGTTTTATAACCTCAAGGCCAGAAGGTTGATATAAGATTAGTGCATATAAGAAATGACCTTCACGAAATGAAAATTCTTAGAGCATTTTCTCGAAATATTTTCCCTTGATACGATGCTTATTAATATACCATAAATTATATTCCATGGCATGTTTTCGCCCATTTATAATCATTAAATGAAGAAGAAAAAGTACAAACAATATAAGTTCATTCCACTAGGTTAGCACAAGTCACCTTTTGTCTAACGATGATGCTATAAACACAAAAGAGATTTCTTTCAAAGATAAAATAAACAGATTATCCCTCAAGATTAGATCTCGTACATGGTTGTGTTGTGTACACCTTGCAATATTATACAATAAGAAAACGATAAACATCTACTGTTTACAGAGTAAACACATATCTTTTTGTCTAAATATTTGTAGTACTTTTGGCTCATTAGCCCAAGTTAGCATAGTGTATATGCATATGTAAGAATGTAACTTATAATGCATATCGAAATAGCTACAAAATTTATGTTATCAAAGCCCTGGACCAAGCATCAGTAAGTTTAATAAATTTGCACGGCACGACCTTCACGTTATATCATAGCATCAATCTATTAATCTTCTAAGCAAGTTATTTCGTACTTAAGTTAATTTTAAAATTATATAAAATTATACGTGAGTTAACATTTATGCAGCGTTAGTTATGAAATAGCGTGGTCTTACCAGATGTAAGATTAATTAGTTAATTTGCAAATTTTGAGATAGCAGTTACTTAAACGAAATCATTTACTCCTTGTATGTTCTTACTTTCTTGAAATATTTTGCTTAATTAAATTAATATTTACTATTTATACACGTCTCTAAAAGGAGAAAACTTTGTGACAATACCTGCACTTATATATAAAGACTCGCGAAAGGTTCATGAAATTTGTGTGTTGCTCTTATAATTTCTCGCATTGTAGTTAAACATAATACTGTAAAGCTCAAGCGAACAATTAACTGCACAGCAAGTATATTTCGCTTTCATCGGTTTCCAGTTTTATGTTGTTTCTACGCTAAAACACCTCCTAAGACATCCCACGTACACTGTACATAGTTCATTATTCTTTATAGTGGTCTTTGTTCTGACGAACTGCTGATCTTTGACTGACATCTCCTGGCATTCAAAAGATCTTAATTGTAGTTGCAAAATATCATCCTACCAACAAAGGTGTGCCATTTCCATCAATTATTTTCAAAAACAGTTAAGGTATATCATTCAGGATAAGAGAAATTCATTCATTCTCAGAGAATTGAAAGGAAAACAGAGGCACAAATGAATGACCTTGTCATGTACCCTGTAACCTATAAGTTGATGCTATTTTGGAAAACCTCGATGTATATATTGTAAAAACCTAAAAACCCTATTGCAATCCCATTAAATGCCCACATTGATACATTGAATACCTTTTTAGATGTAACCGCTTTAGGTTTTGGACAACTTAAGGAAAGATTTAAGATAACCCTGAGAGTCACACCACTTTATACGTACATATATGAGCATTTTCCAAAAATAATCAAACGGTCTCTACCATGTATAGCATAGCTATAAGAGTCCGAGAAAGAAAAGCAAAGAACCTTACCAAAAGAAAACACCAGAAAGAAATAATAAAAGAGCAATTAGGGACGGAGAAAGTTCCATTAGCTGTGCTAAATGTTTGATGAAACATGTCAACACTGTAATTGCCCACACGTGCATGATGTTGAAGTATGTTTATACTATTAATGTTAAAAACATGAGCCTGACAGCTGATTATTTCAACTGATCAGTTATGACATATAAAACAGAATAGAAATGATGCATTAGTAGAAGTTATTCATACGGTATAACGGGTATCTAAATGATAAATCAGTCTGAAAAACGAATTAAAACCGAAATTGATTATATCTTAACCAGCATAGATATAGCCTATTTTATAATGAAAGGCACATTCTACGAGAAATGTTAGTTACTGTACGTGTAGTAAATTTAAAAATGTTGTACAGATTCATGGCAAACATAAAACCTTTTGGCTTTCTTTTCAGACTAAAAATTCATTTTACATTGATATAATTAATAAAGTGATTGTAATGAAAATCACGTTGAATATCGTTTTAAATCTCGTAGTTAAATTTTGACGTCAAAACATTGTAACACGTAACAGCTTCGGGTGCCACTCAACGAAGAATATCAATATTGGCTTTTTTTTGTTTCGCTTTTTAAAATTTCAGTTTCGAGAAAAGTTGCCTGACGCAATGGATAAAGGTAAGCTATGATCACGTGGTGTGTACTTTGAAAATACAATATGTAATATGAAGACAGAATTGCTGTTAGAAAATGCCGATAGGAATCAGAAAGATATTTATTTTAATACGTTTAAGTTGGGAATGGATTAATAAAGCGCTCTAAAATCGAGAATATATATGACGGTAGAAAGATGCATTGTCAGCGAATGTGTTGAATCGAATATTTGGTACTTTGTTCACAGTATAAATATAGCAATAATATTTTCAATGTAAATAGATATAATGTCATAAATGTTCAATGTTAATTGATATACTGTCAAATTGTTCTATGATAATAGATAATACTGTCAGAAATGTTCTATGATAATAGATTCACTGACATATAAAAAGATGTAAAACGCGATTTGTGCTTTTCTGGTCTTTCTATGTATTGTTTCACCCTAACAATACTTTCACGGGCAGTTATTTTGTACAAAATAAGAAATTTTTATGAAAAATAATTTCCTTAACTGTCCCATTCTCTGTCCAAAAGAATCGAGGATCAAAATAGAATTTGATTTGAAACTTAATTCAAACAAGCATTTTTACACAAAGATACGCCTTTTGACCTAGGTTTTATGTATTTAAACCCTCATTTTACGGTGGAATGTTTTCAATGAATTATAATATTATATAGATAGGTATTGTAAAGCTATTACCTATAGATAAACGTTGACCTTAGATGAATTTGTCACGTACATTCATAGATAGCACTTAATTATTTATATAAGAAATACTTACTGTCTTTTGTCACGTTAAAGAAATTCCAATCTGTCACAGATATGTCAAAATAAAATCTAGGACAATTTGTAGCCTTTTGTCATGAAAGGAATGAAAATCCACAAATGTTTTCTATACTACAAACGTCTAAACATTTATCTGTACGCATAAACGAATTCCAACTCGGTGAAACGTAGGAGAAAAGGTAGAACGAATTCACAACTTCCGAAGTTTTCAAACAAGCATACCGCGGAGATAGTTTGGCTGATTTCAACGATGGTTGGTAACTATAGCAACGGAACGAGCGTTTCCTATTTGTGAGTGATGTGTAATAACTTTGGAAAGAAGAATGCTTGAGTAGGTGAAAATCTCCCTTCCTTCCTCTATAAGTTTTTCTCTCTCCTTTAAACAAATTTTTAATTTGAATTGAAAACAAAATCGAATCAACACAGTCTCGAAGAAGAAAAAAACACTAAATGCTGCACCTTCTCTGGATGCCTGTGTTAGAAAGAAGCCAAAGACATTGATTATTGATGTACTTTCGATGCTGTGTGAAATGTATATGTGATGTATTTGCTATGCTTATCAGCCATCAGGCGAATCCGAAAGGCGGTGATTGTTTGATAGAAAGGCTTATCCGTTCGATCAAGTAACAGTGTGATATGACCAATATTGATCAAGTAACCGTGTAATATGATCAATATTGATCAAGTAACAGTGTAATATTATCAATATGATGTGCGGTCTGGTCAAACTATATCAAATATAATCAATCTGTTATCTCAGTAAAATGAAGCTCAAAAAAAATGCAATATGCTCCTTCTGTTTTAGGTATTAACATTTCCTAATTAAAACATCTATTTTCTAATTGTCCATTGGACTTAATGTTAATATATATATTTATAATTGCAATACAATGATTTTTTTAATTGTATAAATCAAACATATAAATTGATATAAGTCGCCATGCTATTACATGTATGTACTTTATTTCAAACTATAAAAGGATGCATCACATATTATTACCAAATTAATTTAGTAAATTAAATACAAAATGAAAATGAAATCCCGATGTTTTAAAATCGCCCATTCATCCAAAGGCAAGCGTCACCGAATTTCATCTAAAAATGAGAACACCTTTTTAAAAACTTTTTTCCCCCTTTGCAACATTAAAGAACTGTTAACTTTTTTCAAAACCTCCGAATTTTTAAGACATATTTACCAAATAGTCTAATAGCCTTATAAAATATGATCAAGAATGATCAAAATGTGCAAAGATTTTAGAAAATTAGTTTGACCTGGTCACCCAATTATAGCTAATAAGAAATGCATCATTATCAGAAAAACTGGCCATCAGGGAAGCAAATTTTATCTTGTTCCTGTATTTAGTCTAAAATTTGACGTACATTTCAGAAAGAAATATAGCGTACCCAAGTTATCATGAATTAGATGAACAAGGAGGGAAGGAAATGATGCAAGTAGTGTTACTAAAATCTAATCTCACGGGTAATTGATCTAATAGATTTTAAAATAGTAACATTTTGTTTCTATTTTTGAAAAAAAATCAGGATAGTTTTCTGTTAATATCTATTTCCTTTCATCTGATATGTTTATACCAATGAAAAAGAATTCATAATAAATGGTGTAGGCAATAAAATGTTATGTTTAAAATATCATATTTAGACGTAATATGCCAATATATGCAAATCTTCATTGCAAATTTCACAATAGATAATCATTAAAATAAGCTCTAAATAAATGTAAACTTGTCTGAATAACACAAAACATGCTCTACCAGACATAACAAGAACTACAAGCGTGTATCCAATATAAGAAATGCGAGCATATATCAAATATAAGAAATATAAGTAAATATCATATATAATTGTGGGCATGCATTAATTTAAAAGAAATTTAGCATGTATCAAATATAAAACGTGAGCATGTATCAAATATAAAACATGTAAGCATGTATCAAATACAAATGTATTTAAATGTGAATATGCATCAGATATAAGCGTATACGAGTTCTTAATCGATCTATTAATAGGTGTAAGATTAGTCTTGTGCTTTTAGTGCTTTTAATGGCGTCATTCCGCGGCCGTTATGAATGAATACGTATATTTTAATACGCTTCTTTATATGAAGTACAGTTTTTGTTATTTCTGCTTAAATATAATCAAACACCGGTTTCTGGTATTGACGGGAATATATCCCCCATTTTCAATGATAACTGTTAAGCTGGAAGTTACCGTTTTAAACAGGTACGTCTGTACCGGAAGTGAGAGTAAAATGCATAAAACACTGTACCAGCATATCTGATTATAAACATTCATTTATAGGAAATGCACCACTGATCAAAGCTTGCTAGAGAAATTAAATTTTTAAAAGAAGTCTTATACTTATACAAGGAACTCTTTTACATACGAAACATGTGGTTACTTGCAATAAAAATGTGCACTAAAATGATAACTTTTCAAGGCTCATGTTTATTTTTCTTTTGATCCTAATTGTTTCATTTCTAAATACATATTAAGGTAATTGGCTATAATTAGTTAATGACATTGTATTGAGTATAGAGCATAATATATATGTTTGCATCTCATCAACTATGGCGTAGTACCTCTACCTAGAACAATCAAATCGCACTTGACAGCTGTACTCAAAGCACAATACAGACAAATTTGGTCACGTGATAACGATCATATTGGCCTAGGGGCAAAAGGGAAACATGTTTTTCTTGTGGAACACATGGGCTTTGGTGATATACTGAATAGATACGTTTTGTTTGGTTCGAGATTTTGTTTGCCCAATGTTTTTGTCTGTTGATGCCGAAAGATTATAGAAACCATATTAAAGACACGTGGTACTTAGTGAATGTACAAAAAATTGTCATTCTTCTTTAAAGAGTTTATATACCCGAACAAGTGTTATTTAGACAATACTCTATAGAGAAACGCCATTCTTAAAGGTAACATGGAATCATTCTATTGCAAAGTTTATTACATTTTTGGAATATATTTTTATCTTGAAACACATCCATCAGTTAAGATTAGCAAAAGCATTTATGTAATTATTACAACACCGACTTCTTGAAACTTATAATTGTTATTATCCAAATCAGAGACATAGATATTATCTACATCTCTGTCCAAATATATAACTTAATACTTCAATATAATGCAATGTGTCATCACAATTAAATTACAGTAACAAAAACTCATTTTACTTTGCATTATATAACAAAGATTTACTTTTCCGATGTCAGGAACATTTTATTTATTTGTCCTGCTCTAATTCAATGAATCTGCGAGATTTGTATTAGATTCAAGACTAGATTTGAGCAAATTATAAGGTTCATATAGTGAAATGTTCTCATATTAAAGAATAGTACGTTTTTTGTTCAAGTGATGCTCATATTACCTAACAGCAGGAAATTAGATTAAACGAATCTTATATAACTAAGTGAACTATCTGTAAATAATAGACATTATGCATTTGAATAGGAAAAAAACGCTGATAAGCACAAAGATAAGATAATGATACAATTGGTGTAATTTGTATGTCTACATTTTATAGTCAGGACTTAAAGCGAAAATCAAAATTATACTGGAATTATTATTGTTACATTTGATAAATATTATATCTATTGTCAGAATACGTACAGCATAATTGTCATGAAGAAAATAGTTTACATTCGTGAAAACATCTCGTATAATATTTATACTTAAATGCACTGAATAATAATAATTATTTAACAAGGTTATCATTTAGGATAAGAAACTGAATTTCAGACATCAGTTGTTAAGCTTTACAAATCCATTCATGATAGATATATACCTAAACATTCCTGATAGGGACGTATCTATTCCTGATAGGGACGTATCTATTCCTGATAAAGACCTGTTCACATAAGATATAGATCCATCAATTCATGATATTGACCTATTCGTACATAAAAAAGACCTTAACATTCATGATATAAACATTTCCATTCATGATAAAGACCTATACATTCATGATATAAACCTATCAATTCTTGGTTTCGTGATAAAGATTATATGCATGTATGATATAGACCGGTCTTTTCGTGGTAAGAGATCTGTTTCTTTATAACAAAGACCTATCCATTCAATGATACTTACTGGTTTATTCATTTCTATAAACCTATTTTTTTCATGGCATAGACTTGTGTAGACATGATACAGAGCTATCCGTGCATGATATAAACCTATCAAGCATGATACGAACGTTTCCATTTTAGATTTTTACTGACCGGACGACACTTAAGACACTTACATTATCATAACCTTATTTGAGCATCTTAGTTTATAGCAACAAACGAAAAGACATTCCAGGGGATTTTTTCAGTGTTTTCTGAAAACACCAGTTCTTTGACCTAAATATAAACTGAGAACTAAAATGATGCCAAATGTTTTGCCTGATTACCTATATGTTACTCGTAGATAATGAAGAGAAAAATTCAAGATATAGGCGAGCAAGGCATGAAACAATATTTGATTAAACGTTTGATTTAACATGGAGAAAGTTATCTGAAAAGTCTGGTGAAAGCCCTACAGTAAACAAGCATAAAAAATATTATGATATTGCAAAATAATAAAAGAAAGTAAAATGTCCGGTAGTATTGACCTGTAAGTGAATTGCATTTTGCTCCCTAAGAATTAAAATCGAATGTCTTTGCCTTTGAACCTTGATATGAAATCATGATATAAACAAAAACACTTTTAGAAGGTGAAAAAAAGATGGTATGTTTAAAATTATAGGGAATTTTCCACCCTTCAACTTGTTATTGGGTAAAAAGTACGACAAAAATGTTGCCCCATAAAGGAAACAAATATAAAAGAAAATGTAAAAAAATGAAATATCAAACCGCGTTCTTATAACTCAGAAACGTTTCTCCCAATTTTCATTCCCGATCGTTTAATGAAAACATTTCCCCAATATCTTGTGTTTAAGTGCGGTGTAAGTTCTTAAATAACATCCATTGAGTGCTTTAAAGTGCCTGTAATGTATACAAAACATTCAAATGCTGCAAAAACATTCATGTTGCGCGTACAAAATGGTTTTACAAATAAAGATGGGCAAAAAAACAATTTGCTGAAAAGAAAATATACGGAGAAAAAATTACAATATCAAAATTAATGGTCATGGAACGAAATTCAACATTATATCGGAAAATGTAGAAACAAAACTTTGAGACAGGGCACATCTTCTATTTTGTTTTAATTCAAGTTTATATTTTAAAGAAGTAATTTTGTATACGAATACAAGGTAACAAAAATAGTATTTATTTGCCTTTCCATTTTTTTCGTTTTGCTTTTTTAAGAATCAGCTTTGTTAAAAATGCTTTAAAGTGAAAAGAAAATATTTGAATTTTAAAAACGAATGCTTGTATAAGA